ATGGAGTTGAGATATTTAGATATTTTCAAAAGAAACAATGGGTTTTTTTTTACAGATTTAATTTATTCCCTCTTTTTTAATTTTTTATTTTTTAATCATTTTTCTGGATTGGTTCCATATCTTAGCTATGGTAAATAATGCTGCAATAAACATAGTTGTGCTGGTAGCTTTAGGATGGTCATGTTTGTGATCATTTGGGTAAATGCCCAAAAGTGGGATTACTGGGTCATAGGGGAGCTCTATGTGGAGTCTTTGGAGGAACCTCCATACTGCTTACCAAAGTGGTTGAACAAGTTTACACTCCAATCAACAATGCAGTAAGGTTCCCTTCTGTCCACATCCCCTCCATCATCTGTTGTTATTAGAGTTCCTGATTATATCCATTGTAATTGGGTGAGGTGGTATCTCAATGTTGTTTACATTTCTTTTATGGCTAGGGAGGTTGAACATTTCTTCATGTGTCTATTGGCCATCCTTCTTTTCTCTTCAGAGAAGTTTCTCTTTAAGACTTTAGCCCACTTATTTATTGGGCAGTTGTTTCTTTGAAGATTTGATGTTGGGGGATTTAATTTTTTGAGTTCCAGGTATATTTTAGATATGAGACCCTTGTCCATTGTATGACTAGTGAAGATCTTCTCCCAATCCTTGGGCTTTCTATTGATCTTGCTAGCTATGTCCTTTGCCATGCAGAAGCTCTGCAATCTCATGCTATCCCATTTGTCCAACCTTTCTTTGATTTGCTGTGTTTCTGAGTCTCTTTAAGAAAATTTTGGCCTGTGCCAAGGAGACCTAGGGTTTCTCCTGTTCTATCCTGTAATGTTTTCAGGGTGTCTGCTTTGACTTGGAGGTCTTTGATCCATTTGGAGTTGATTCTGGTGCAGGGTGATATATAAGGATCTAGCTTTAGTTTTCTACAAGTGATTAACCAATTTTGCCAGCACGATTTACTGAAGAGGCTGTCTTTCTTCCATTCTATTTTTTTTAGCTCCCTTATCAAAGATTAGATGGCTATAGCTCTGTGGTTTCATTTCTGGGTTTTCAATTCTATTCCATTGGTCCTGAGATCTGTACTTGTGCCAGTACAAAGCTGTTTTGATTACTATTTCTTTGTAGTAGAGTTTGAAATTTGGTATTGATATTCCTCCAGCACTGTTCTTTCTGTTAAGGATCGTTTTTGCTATTGGGGTCTTTTATTGTTCCATATGAATTTTTGGATTGCCTCTTCTATTTCCTTGAAGAATGAGGTTGGAATGTTGCTAGGTATCGCGTTGAATTTGTAGATAGCCTTGGGAAATATTGCCATTTTCACAATGTTGATCCTTCCAATCCAGGAGCATGGGAGGTTTTTCCACTCTCTAAGTTATGTTTTGATTTCCTTTTTCTTGCTGCTCTTTTTCAAGGAGGTTCAGATGTCTCATTAAATTGTTGGTTTCAGGATCTCCAATTTGTTGATGTGGGAACTTGCCTCTGAGTAATGCCTTTGCTGTGTCCCAGAGGAGTTGGTAAATTGTGTGTTCATTTTGATGAATATCATGAACATTTGAATTTCCTTTCTAATCTCTTCCTTGACCCACTGGTGATTCAACAGTGTGTTGTTTAGCCTCCATGTGTTAC